CACAAAGGTTCCGCAGGAGGGGTGGGTAGGGCGGAAACCTTTCTGTGTGACCACACAGGGTAAGAATAAACGGTACAAGTGCTGTGAGGGCTGATTTGATGGGGGGGGGAGGGGGCGTAATCATGTCGTGCATGCCTTGGCGGTTGGACCGCACGTCCTCGAGGGGTTTCGGGGGGGCGTAGGGATTGGGTTAAGCAAGCAGCCACCGTCATTCGTGGGTAGTATGGCCGTGGTGTGTCTATGCATGGGAGCTTGGGTTTCTACTACTACAAGTGGGGCAGGCGTTGGAGTGGGAGGGAGGAGAAGGGGCGGTCTGTCAGGCAAGGGGGCGGTAGAAGCGCCGAATAATAAGATGGGATGCTTGGGTAGGAGCCCTTCTTGTGACCATCGGCGGAAAGCTTAAGTGGAGGAGTTTTTCTCCAAACACAAAAAAATAAATGTTTATTGTTAAGGAGGACCCGACTCGCAGGGTATCCGTCGATTGACTTTTGCCAGGATCGGTCCACCTTCTTCGCAATTATGCCGCAAACCTCATGTGATTGTTCTTTTTTACTATTATTGTTGGGCCATCGCCGAAAGAACAACCTCCCAATCCTTTTGCCGTCTGATGCCTTTTTACCTCAACGCGTGCGCTGTCGCTGGGGCGAGCGATGGGTATACCGCCACATCAACCCCCCGCAACCTCGTTACTGTTCTCGTCACCCGCACCGTGTCCCGTCCATCTTCACGGGAGCATCACCCTTTTCTTTTGCTCATCGACGATTTTACCTTCTCCCTTTCTGCGGGCATTGCTGTCTAGGCCATCCGTGCTCAGCACCCCCTTCCTTTCTTCTCTCCCTCGCTGTGCGCGTTGCTAGGCCATCCATGCTCACCGCAGCAGCAGCCCTTTATTGGTCCTCGGCGGTCTCCTTTTTGTCTCCCTCGTTGCGGGCGGTTGATTGCTAGTCAATCCATCCTCCAGGCAGCCGCACCCACTTTTTACTCTTCGGCTGTTTCTTTCTCCCTCTCTGCGTGCATTGATCGCTAGTCCACCTTTGCTAACCGCAGCAGCACCCCTGTTTGGCTCCTCTGCGTCTCTCTCTCTCTCTCTCTCTCTCTCTCTCTGTCTCTCTCTCTGTCTCTCTCTCTCTCTCTGCGTGTATTTATTGCTATTGATGTATTATTGCTATGGTAAGAGTCTCCTCTCTGCCTGCGTTGATCGCTATGTATGATGCACTGCTAGGACGACCGAGGTGATGGGACGAAGGCGTGGGACATGTGCCTCGACCTCAAGGAGAAGGGGCTGTTGGCCAAGCCGACCCATGGTGAGACAGAGACAACCCCAGTTGACTTCGCTTACTCATCTTGGTTTTGGTATGGGGCACGGGTTGGGGTTGGGGGTCAGGGATAGGGATACGAACCTCCCCCTCTCTATTTCACATGCATTAGATTAAAAATAAATTCCTCGCGAAGGCGGCTCGACAGAGAGCCTGGGGGGGCACTCAAGACTCTGAGAGGGAGGGGTTGACGGGGAAAAGGAGGGCGCGCGACGGGGGGGGGTACACTTATCTCATCTGTTGCCTGCCGTAGGAGTCACTTTCTGGCCCATCTTGTGTGAACACATGGGCAATCACCTTTCTTTCCCATGTTTTGGCATAGCCGAAGGCGGGTGTATATGCGGAGGGGGGCGGGGGGGGGTGCACGTACCTGGCTTGTGCTGTGTGCCCGAAGGATGGCTTGTTGTGTTGTTGTTGATGATAATTGTGACACTTGGTTGAAGAATAACCCGAGTTGAACAAGATAATACCGCTGCTGCTTCGTGCACCACAGGCTGCCTTTCGACGAGATGAGACAGATCCTTTCGAAGGGCGACAACGCGTTTCAACCTCGCCCTTGATGTCGTGTCTCCTTCCATGCCTGACTCTCTCTCTCTCTCTCTCTCTCTCTCTCTCTCTCTCTCTCTCTCTCTCTCTCCCTCTCTCCTC